GCAGGGTTCGGGGCTGTCTGTCGGCCCTTTGTCCCCCGCGGCCGCCGCCCGAACCGCCGCCGCTGCCGCTTTCTCTGTCTTGCTTTCTTCCCCCGCCCCCCGACCACACCCCCTTAAAGGGCCAGCCCCATTTCAGGCCCCTGTCTCCCCAACCCCGCCTCCTGAAAGGGGATAGGGGAGGATCTACTTTGCAGGGTTCGGGGCTGTCTGTCGGGTCTCCTTTAACTTAACCTCTGGCCTCAAACCTAGACTTCTTTGTGTCGGATGCCTGGGTCTGCACGCCCGCTAGGACCATAGTCCTCTTCTCACTCTGTCGCATTCTGTCACTGAGGCAGAAACAGTCTAGGCATGAGACCGAGTGGGCGCAGATCCGGTGAGGAACCTGCGAGACCCTTGGTCAGCAAGGGACGAGAGAACTTCCGCGCGCGGGTCGACACGTGGAAAGGGCTTCCGGAGATCGGAGGTGCAAAGGGGTCTAGGCACTGCCCAGGTGCCGGGATGCCCTACTTGGGTCGGTCTCACGCCCCTCAAGGAAGAGCTCGGGTGGGAGCTTGTAGAGTTGGCCTTTGGGCTTACAATGGCCAGGACCTGGGACGACCACCGCCCACTGGCTGAGATGGCGGCGCGCGTAGTATTGTGGGCAATGTAGTTCGCGGATCATCGATGCTGCCCCTCCCAGCTGCAGAGCCCGCAGAGAAGCGCAAACTTGTTTGGGGCGCGCCCCTCTGAGCTGGCTGGGTTGTGCTGGGCGAGGCCCTGGGCACCCCCCAGTTTGAGCGTGTGCAAAGGAAGAAACTCGGGTGCAAAGAGCTAGAATGTGGGGAAGCCAAAACTCACGGTGATAAAGGTAATAATAGCAATTGACTCCAAATGAGCGTTTATCCAGATCCCTGCCTGTTCTGCTGTAGGGACGGCAAGCTAGTAACTTCTCTATCCTTCACACTTTAGGAGGCCACGTTCCATTCTTCTTCATTCCGTCTGCATCTTTAAATTGTTTCATTCATTCGTTTGTTTTTCTGCTAGACAGCGAAATTTTGGTGGACTAGAGCTCTGAGGACTTCGCTGATACCCAAGCTTGGGTCGGCATGCTCCCTGTCAAACCTACAGACATTAGGAAACTTTTGGGTCCCTATAGAACTGTAGCTCCTAAAACTCTCAGACTCAAGCAAACGACTCTCCATCCTATTGGTTGAACAAACGACCGTAAAGGAAAAAAACAAAACAAAACCCTGATGGACTTCCTCTGAAGGCTATGGGCAACGTTAAAGAGGAAAATCCGTGAAAACTTAGGTAATGACAGCACATAGTTAAGTCACAGGGCTATTTAAAGAGGGAGCTGGGAGCCTGGGCTGTGTGAGCCCCCCCCCCCCCCCCCCCATCCCCTGCACTAAGACAGAGTCTACCAGTCTTCTGCTACTCACTCCATCTGATACTACCCAACAAGGTTGTATAGCACTTTCTGGATGTATCTTTGGCTCTTCAGTTTCCAATAGTGTCAAGATTACAGGGACAGCAGGTCCTAGCCCTCCCTATATGGACATCTTTTCTCTAGATGCTGCAGAGAAAAAAGCCTCTGAACAGGTAGGTTTCAGAGAGAGGTGAGTTTGGTCCAGGGTCCCACAGTTGGTACTACATCCAAACTCAAACCCAGGACTTCAGGCTCCTCCTTTATGCTACTTTTTAAAATTTTATGTGTTATGAATTTGTGTTACGACTATTTTGTCTACATATATGCATGTGTACCACCTGAGCCTATGCAGGTCAGAAGGTTTTGAATTCCCTAGAACTGGAGGTATGGATGTTTGTGAGCCACCATATGGATGCTGGGTCCTCTGCAAGAGCAAATGTTCTTAACTGCTGAAGCATCTCTGTAGCCTCCTTGATGCTATTTTTTGGAGAGATGCCACAACGTTTAGGGGTATAGGTCAGGGGTAGAGCATTTGCCTGGCATGTGCAAGGTATGGGTTTGATTCCCAGTACCGTAAAAATAAAATAAAGGGAGACACATCTAGGGAGGTAGCTCCCTTGGAACAGTGCTTGCCTAGCATGCACAATGCCGTAGGTTCGATCCCCAGCACCACCTACAGTTGTTCGTAATCGCAGTTGGCTAGTCTGGACAGCCCGGGAGGTTGGCTCCTGCTATTACAGTTAGGCAGTGGCCGCTGCCTGTCGAGCCTGACCTCCCCTTCCGTGCCTGAACTATGGGAGAATCACTCTTCCCAGGGACAGATCCCCTGCATGCCCAGCTCACCTCACCAAGGGCGGAGCAGCTCCTTTTGAAGCCCAGCATTGGTTTGTACCAATGCGTGCCCAGCAGACACTGTGAGAGCAGAGCCCCTGACTCTGAAAACCTTCAACCCTGCCTGTGCCTCCGTCCTTGACCATAACATTAGATTCGAAAGTCTCCAGGTCTCATGCCAGGTCCTTTCAGAGATAAACCCGTCCTGCTTCTCCCTCTGGCTACCTCCTGTGTCATCTCCAGGTTATCTTTGTTTTCCTGGGGCTGGCTGCTCTTGTTCCTTCCAGTGACCAGCAGATGGGTATGCTGGCCTACAGCTTTCTTGGAACCTGAGCCGCTCAAACAGAGCCCTAGCCTTGGAACACACCGGTTGGATTCAAGTCCTGACTCTGCCCAGGAAGTGGGCAAATCACTCATGTCCAAGGCGTGTCTTCCAGGAGCCAGAGGATCCTGACCTCCCTGTGACCTGGAGCTCAGGAGCTGGAGCCTTTAGCCTGTTCTGCTCACCCACCAGCCCTCTTATGACTGGAGTGTGCCTAGTCTCTCATCCAGTCTCAGGCTGTGGCTTCCCTGGGTGATGTGGCCCCCTCCCACCAGAGTGCAGCTAAGGATGCTTGCAGCACCTCCCTGAAGCAGAGGCCCTGGGGAGGGACCTGCGGGCCCAGACCAATCCCTTAATCAAGGGTAGAGGCCGGAAAAGCTGGCTTCATTCCCCCCATTACTGCATGCCGAGAAACTCTATTACCATCGCAGGGTTGGAAGAAAGCGTCCAAGGAAGAAGAGGGAGTCTTCTAATGGGGGGCTGCTGGCCTCAAGAGATTAGCGGTGGGGGAAGAAGAGAGCCTGGCCCAACAAACAGCTTCCATCCTGTTTTTCAGAGACATGCTTCCAGAAGCTTCTGGGAGGGTCCAGTCATCATGACCTTAGTGTTGGTGTGCAGAATCCACTGTGCCAGAGTTGACCTTCCCACAGGTTTCTTTCCCGCCTGTCACATTACTTACAGGGGGTAGGGGTGTTTATCCCACTGTGATAACTAGCTCTTGGACAAGGGAGTCCTGCATTTGAAAGCAAGCCAGTGGGGACAGAGGCCAGTCTTCACCCTTAACAGTTTTGTTCTTCGGAGGAGGTTGGTGGTAGTTGGAGCTCCGAAGGGGTATTTTCTTACAGCCCTTGTGAAAGAGGAGGAGGAGGACCACAGGCCTGTACCCTTCTCCCCCTTTTTTTCTCGTACAGAGCAGAGAGCAGAGGCAGGAAGTCAGAATGAGGGGTGAAATCCTCTCAGGAAGCTGTGTGACCTTGGGCAAGTCCCTTCCCCTCTCTGGGCCTCAAGTGGAGATAATAATCACATCACTGCACAAGGCCACAGCCAAAGACAACTAGATTCATTAAGTTTGCCGCCATTATGATGGCGATTTGGAGAACAGCCAGTGCCAGGCAGGGCTCCTCTTGAGGCCTGAGAGCCTGGGGCAAAGGCGCCGGCAGGGAAGCGCCTCCTTAGCTGACCCTCCTCCCCCAGAGCTAGCTCCAACTCTTTCTGGGTTTCTAGGTGACTTGGCTGGCCCCTCTGGATGAGTTCTACTTTAAACCTGCTGCTGCTGCCTCCTTTGTATTGGGGGGGCTCCCACAGGGGCCCCCAGGCAGGAGGCCCCCCCAGCCAAGCCCTGCGGGAGGGGCTGCAGCCCCCACCCCGGCTGGTGCCCATGAGCCTGCCCCTTCCGTTCGTTCCTCCGATCACTGGAACACAGATTTCAGGGCACCTGCTGTGGGCCAGGAGCTGCACAACCCCTCCTTTGGGGACACCCACGAGGCTTCTGCCCCCTCTGGGCAAACAACCATCCTTCACTAAGCAGTTTTCAGCTAAGAGGCTCACTGACACTGGCTTCCAGCACAGGGTCAGCAACGCAAGAACTGCGGCAAGGTTTTCTCCGGAAAGCCAGGATGCCTGGGTCCTCAAAGGAGGTGGCAGCTCCAGGCCTCTAGGGCTAGGGACGGGGGAGGGGCGCCTGCCGGCGGGAGGCCCATTAGCCAGCTAAGTGCTCCCTGGGAGGGGGGGGGGACTGCGCTGGAGCAGGAGGGGGTGAAGCGAAGTGAGGGCACGCGGGTGGAGTGTGATGGAGATAGGGTGACGTTTCCTGAGCTCATCTTAGTGCGGTAGGAGTGGTGTTGGGGACAAGGGTCTGTGTCCCTAGCCTTAGTATCTTCGCTTTTTCCACCTGGGGTCCCCAACCGGCTGACCTTGGCATGTCTTGAGCAGCTCCAACTCCCGTCTTTCCAGGTGCACCCTCAATAGCCCCGTGCCCCTAAGCGCTCCCACTTTCTCCAAAACCCCGGAAAAATACAGCCCTATTGAGTCAGCCGCCCAACAAAGACCCCCAGTTCCGCTCTACCATCATTACTTTGGTTGCTGTCGCCGCCCCGACCGCCAGGGGGCGCCGCCGTGGGTCGGGCGGCACTGCCGCGGTGGGAGGGGGCGGCACCGCCCGACGGGGCGGGGCTCGGCGGGGGCGGGGCCGGGCGCCGAGTCTCCGGTCCGTCCGGGACAGACTGGCTGGCGGGCGGGCGCTGACGCCGCGGGGCCAGAGCGGGCCGCGCGGGAGCGTGCTGAGAGAGCAGTGGCACCGTCGGTTCCCGTCGGGGCTCCATAGGTCCCCGAGCCGTCCCTGGCTTGGCCATGGCGGGCGCGAGGCCCGGCGTCCACGCGCTGCAGCTGGAGCCGCCCACCGTGGTGGAGACCCTGCGGCGCGGGAGTAAGTTCATCAAATGGGACGAGGTAAGAGAGTGGCTGTCCCCTGCTCTGCCCAGATGGAAGCATTCCTTCATTCACATTCGGCTAGATGCTAGGGACTCCCATTTCAGTGTTGCCTGACTACCTCACCCCCTATTCCAGCCTTGCTGCACTCCAGAAACTTGAGTCCTGTTGTCCTGGTAATTGAAGACTTTGTCGTTGTCTCCCCCTAACCTCCCGCAACCCAGTCCTTTAGCTGTGGTCAATTGGGCTCACCACTCCTTGGCATGGAGACTTTGAACCCCAGTAAATCCTGTCCCTCTTCTCACTCTTTCCTACCCTTGCCAGACGATGAATATCAATGTCTCCATGCTGGTTCTCAGTTTCTGGTCTGGTCCCCAGACTCCTGTGCCTGACACTGGACTCCCAGGGGGCATAGGGCATCCTTGTCTTGAGTGGGGTGCCGCTGGGATCCTGCTCTTCCCAGTGCCTCGCCTGAGACATTATATTCATCACTTTTCAGCCTGTCCTGGTTGGTACCCCTTCGTCCTGCTTCTGGATTCCACGAGCTTTCTGTTCAGATAGGAGCACCAAATCACTCCTTACCAGAGACTTTGTTCCTTTTCAGGTTCCTCCAACTCTGGGAACTTTGCTCTCCACTCTTTAACTTAATGGCCTTGAACCCCAATAAATCCTG